AGAAGCAAGGCAAAAAAGAATAACTCAATATGCAACTTGGACACTAACTTCAATTTTGCTATTGCTTACTTAGCTAACTTTGACCAAAAAAATGATAGATGAGACATCTTAAAATCGTAAAATAATCATATATGTAAGTCCAGGGTTTGGTCATTATTGTTAAAACAAGAACAGGAAAGGGAAGACCAAGGTTTACATTAGTGAAGTGCAGTTTCCTCTGTATGTGGTGTATCTCACAACTGAGCTTGCAGGAGTAAGATCAGATAACTGCCAGGGAAAAGAAAGATGAAAATGCTACACCAGTTTCTTGTATAGTATGAACTTAATGGATAAGCAAAGGCATAACTACTGAAAAGGCCCAGGATGTGAAAGATGAAAACAACATACATGTTGTACTTTTTAACAGACTTTTGTGAAAAAATGTACTAAATAATTCATTAGTGGAGCATCCCTGAGAACTGGCTGTGTCTGGCGGTATCATCTGGCAGAAGGGAGATCACAGGCATCAGTTTATATTTATCATGAAGAAAGTGAGATTCTGAATACTCTCCTTCCCTTACTTTAAGCTTCCTGGAAAAGTCAATGTGGAAAAAGTCAGAATCCCAAGGCTTACTAAGAAAGCATCTTCCCTCTCAGAGGCACAACCATTTCAGAGTTGTTAATGTGTCCGTCACACAATAATCATGCAAGAAAGAAAAAAATCCTGTAGTGTATTGTTTTTTACAAACCTAAAGTGAAGGTCTGAAGTTACCAGAGAAAATAAACATTAAGTAAAATTGCAAATCAACTATGAAATTTCTGGCTCACCCTAAAAGCTGTTAGAGTGATCAGGACCAAGTTCAGATTTTTATATAGCTATGTATTTGGAGGTTTTTATAATCTCACTGCTATCACTGTTTATAATATTCTGGACTGAAGTAGGCATCAGACAAAGTCAACCCAGGTATACTGTTAACAAGCATAAGAATTTTTTTGTGGTCTAACGCTGATGATTAACTTTGGCAAAGTGATAACCTACCGTTTCATTTCTAAAGATCTTGCCCTACCTTGAATTTTCACTGATTTAGTGCTTCTTATCTACAAGCAATTGTAAGATTCACTTGAGGGATCTCTATGACAGAGAAATGCTTACAGTATCTACCATGACATTTTCATATTATCAATGGTTAAGATGCATCCTGATTTTAGAGCTATCATGATGTAGGGAAATGAAATCAATAAAATAAGCCACAGGAAACCATTGCCCTTCTACGTATAATAAATCAAAAGGAGTATTGTTCTGAGACATTAAAATCTATATACAGTAGGACTCTTAAATAGCCTAAGATCATGATAGCTTGGAAGTTAGTCTCTGATACAGTAAAACTTTAGGGTACTTTTAATATCTTATCAAGGCCCTAAACTTGACCATAGTACCTATCAGAGAAAAATATATGAGACTTCCAACTGTACTTACAAAGACAATGCTAAGTCCTTGAAATAGTTCAACAACAAAGCCTTGAAACTGCCTAGTTATTCTCTCCTTTGAGAACCCAACTGTTATAATTCGAGGCCACACAATTAGGGATGTGCTGTGTTACTGAACTAAACAGCCAGCAGCTCCAGACATGTCATCTTCTCTCCTGTTCAGTAAAACCCTATCATTTGTATTGATAGGCTCAGGGCAGGGGAAAAAAACAAAACCAAACCACAAAGCAAATTTTCCCCTTTCCAAGCAATTCTGGATTGTGCTGCACCGAGTAAAGTCTTATAATAAATAACAAAATCAGCAGACTTCACTGTGCAGCAGAAGAGAGTGGCTGCATTGTCTTCCCAGGGTAGGGCAGCATTCTCAGTTCTAGGGCTCAGGCTGAATGGCTGCTTTCAGGAGACCAAGCAGAAAGTCCTTTCCTCCAGCTTCCACTGCCGCCAGACAAAGTCACTCTTGTTGGAACACAGTGTTCAAAAGATACCAAGAAATCTCGCCCTGACCCTCCTACTTGGTGAGAGCATCTATAATCTGCTCTTCTGTTCTTATCTATTTCTACTGACTTGGGATACATTTGTTTGGCAATAAGATCCACCCCCATACCACACATAAAAGTACACTGGATTATTCTTTTGAACTCCATACTCTCTAAACTATCTAATGAAATAAAACTTCCAAAGGCAAATGTGGAAGGAATCATATCAGGTTTACAAGAGACAGACTTTCACATTTGCTTCAATGTATTCTCTTTCTACATAGCTGGCTTTTAAGAAGAACTCTCCTATAATCCAGTGTCACAAATCACTAATTTACAGCTACTATAGAAGATGGTTTTTAGTGAATAAAGACCCCCAAACCTAAAGAACTTAAAATAATACTTTTCCTTCAAACATGACAACCAGACAGAGACGTTCTCCACCCCTTAAACCTGCAACCCCAAGAGGAAACGCACTTACGTGTTCAGATCTCTCCGGTTCTTTTCTGTCTGTCTGCAAAAACTGACAGTTTTCTCTTGCCAGCTTCTGGACCAGCTCGATGCGCCCGATGTCATCCCGCTCCTGAAGCTTGCACATCACTCCAGCCTTGAGAGTTGGAGAAAAGGCAAAGATGTACTTAAACCCGCAGTCCCAGGACATGGCACCCCTTCCAAGTTCACCTTATTAGAAATTCATGTCTCCCCATGGGCTAGATTCAGACATAGTCTTGACAAAATATTTTGTATTTCTAAAGTCAAAATCTCCTAAGTAGCTGCTCTGCCTAAAGACTTGGAGCTGCGATCAACCTGTCAGACTGCTTTAAGAGAGCGGAGGGCAAACTAAATCATTTGCTACTATGTGTGTGCCTGATAGGCCGCTATTTGTTTGTCCCTGACAGCCTGTTTCCTGTTACATAAGCAAAGCCTAGCAAGCGGTTAAAAATTCATGGGAAAGTTAGCCAGGAACCACTCTGGCAAAAAGGGTGAAGTGATACAGAGTTCTAAAAATAACACTTTAAAACTTCCCAATTCTTTAACTCTACCAGATCACTCCACAGACAAACACTCAGTGAACAAGATTAGAGTTTTATTTTCACAACTGGAAAAATACTAAGGGGCATGAAAAAGACGTCTCCAGTGCTACATGGAAAATGGTGAAATTTTATTCAAAATAAGAAATTAAAAAAAGAAATCTTAGAATTCCATTTACTGGGGTTTGGAACTAATCCAAGAATTGTAGGGTTTTTAAAAAAATTTTATTAGGTCAAAGAATTAACTAATGATGATGGTGAAGGAAATGAATCTAGGACATGCAGATAGAAAAAAAATGCTAATTCTCACACACAAACTATAAATTATTTCTGCTTGAATCCTTTCCTAAATGATTTGTAGTGATATACCAAAGCAAGAGATAATAAAGAGATCCAAAGTGAGACTTTGCCAGGGCAGTTGAAACTATAGAATCCTTATTTTAACCAACACAACCTGCAAGATTTGAGCACAGCAGAAAGAACCAGCATGGGGAAGGGGCTCACGTGTGACCCTGAGCTTCATGGTCCTGACAGTATGTGCTGAAGATGCCCGTGTTGTGGAGTGGGCATCACAGAAAGGGACTCATTTATGCAAAGCCATGACTAAAGCTTTATTCCCAAGGGTAGTGACATCTCTTTTTCTAGTGGTTTTTACAACTTGGAAAAAAACACACATAATCCTTGACGCAGCCCAAAGCACAGACTCCCAGAAGATAGCAAGCAGAACTCCACCAAGGTTAGAGATTTATTTTTATACCACCCTTCACAAGTGGTTTTCCAGTTCCTTTCTGAAGTGGCTTTGGACAGGGATCCCAGTTTATCTTAAGACAGCCTGTACACTGCTAGACAGCCAGCTGGGAAGTCTTGGATCACACGACACACTATTCTAAAACTTTTTTTTTTTTTGAAGCAAGGTCTTGCCACGTTCTTCAGCCTGACCATAAACTCACTTATGTAGCCCAGGCTGGCCTCGAACTCATGCAGCTCCTCCTGCCTCGGCCTCACGCTATTATGAGCCTGCCTTTCCCTGGGATGGCGCTTGGTAGCAGTATTCACTGTGTTTACGGTCACACCTCATGAAGATACCCATGAAAGAGGACTCCCAAAACTGCTTCAGAACATGCCAGAAACGATGGCCTAAGGCTGTTTGAAGCAAGAGGGAGTATACTGAGATAGATGAATGGCAAGGTAATTTTTACTGCAATAAATTTTTAAAATGTAATTATTTACCATGTATATCAATCACATCTTCTGTGAAAGGAATCAATTTGTTATCTAGAAAATTCATTATACCTAAGTCTAAGATTTCATTTATTTATTTATTTATTTATTTACTTAATTGCTTATCGTGGTAGAACCAGGGATTGAACTTAGGCCTTGGGGTTGCCAGGGAAGTGCTTATTCTACTGAGCCATCTCCCCAGCCTGCTAAATCTAAGATTTCTTTCCTCTCCTTCCAGGTCATCTTTACAGTGTCTAAGACATCATCCTGCTCCTGGAGAGAGGATGCTAGGGCCCTCCCACCTGGTCCTGCTGGTTTAGTCAGCACTATGACAACTAGTCCATCTCTCTCTCAGTCACCTGGTGTGGTCCTCCAATGACAGAGGGGATGGATAGAGCAAGGCCCCGCCAGGCCCGTTTCTAGGTGAGCACTGAGAAGCCAGCGGTCGTGGTACACGGTGGAGCCTGCGCCTCCTCTCACCACTCTGCCTCCAAACCAGTGCAGCCAAGCTGCCTAGGATCCTGCTGTGGAAACACCTTTACCTGCCAGTCACAGGGCCCACGTGGAGTTTTCAATAACTGATAAAAGCAGCAGTAATAAAAGGCTGAGATTGAGAAGATGCCACTGGGGGGGGGGTGGTTAGCTACTATTTTCTTTCTGTATAACACAAGCTTGTAAAGAACTCAAAACATTTTTCCCCTCACAATTAGGATCCTAAGTATGGACTTTTCTTCCAGGAGGAAAGAAGCGAATCAGTATTTTTAACACAAAATGATACTGCTTTTAACAGTGGGTTTTAGGTCAGTTATTCTGTATTCACTTCATATCTTCTACTTAAAGAAGAAATACTCCTGCCTTGACTTTCTGGTTTCTGCATAATTTCTAGATGTACTGTTTGGATTCTCTTTCAGGAGACAATCAATCCTATAGCCCTTCTTCTAAAACTACCACCCAAACACGTTTGCAATAAGGGTTACGGATGCTGCTTTATGCCCTGCTGAACTTCCGGCCTGAGAGAAGCCCACACATCCCAGGTAGTTTTACATTTTTTTGGTGCCAGGGATCAAACTCAGGACCTTATGCTTGCCAGGCAGGTGCTATGCCACTGAGCTATCTCCCAGGCTGCCTAGATAGTTTATAAGGCAGTATTCTTTAGAAATACTACACTAAATCAGATGTTCTCTAGGGTCCCTTTCATAGCTCCATAATTTAGTCATTTAATTCAAGAAATCCATGAGTTTTTGGCAAGTGCAAGTTCCTGAGGTTGATGCCCGGTCCTGAAAAACAAAAAAACGAGAGAGAGAGAGAGAGAGAGAGAGAGAGAGAGAGAGAGAGAGAGAGACAGACAGACAGACAGACAGACAGACAGAGACAGACAGACAGAGACAGAGACAAGAAAAGATATCCATGAATTTAATAATATACTTTGGGAGCTTTATGTCAGCAGAAGCAAGATAAGCACGAACCCTTCATCTAGGCCTTCATATTTTTAGTCTATTTAATTTAACTATGTGAAATTAATTATAAATAGCTTACCTAACACTGTGAAGTCAGAAAAAATAAAAGATTGATATGTAGCCATCAGAAGAATTGTTTCAGAGCCTTACATTAAGATCTGTTTTGAAAAAAAAAATCTCTGTAATGTATAATTAAAGCTATTCATACGTTTTCAGCATCTGAGAAGAGAAACGTGGTGAATGTCAGTGGAAAGGCCTGTCTCCTCCACAAATGGAGTCCTAAGACGGCAGGCCTGTGCCCTGTGCCACCTGCTGTAAAGATGAGATGTGGATGGGACTCCCTTAGGAAGGAGCATGCGGATGATAAATGAGCAATTTCTCTGTGACAAAGGTGCAACAGCATAATTAGAAGTCTGAAAATATTGTATGAGTTATCTTTAAGAATCACTTTTTCTAAAATATCTCAGTAAAATATGCAAAACTTGCTGTCAGAAAAGGAAAACCAACATCTCCCCCGAGACTGCACTGGGCTGTTCAAACAACGCAAAGGTGGCTCAGCCCACATTCAGGGTATTCAAATAAATTCTTACTGATTCCTACATAACGTATTTGTCCCATTTAAAATGAAGCCCTGACATTCACTAAATAAGATTTTAGTTTTTGCTACTGAAAATAAAAGCGACAAAACACAGGGTTAGGGTAATGCATTACTGAGCTGCATGTTATGTGCTTCTTTCCAAAGTAGAAAATGTTAAGAATTCTTCTTAGGAAAGTTTAGAAGATGGGTCATAGTTTTATGTTATTTTTATTAGTGCATGTGTGTAGTACATAATGTGCTCATTCCTTGCATGGAAGGGGTGTGTGTACATAATGCTTTTTAAATTTAAAAAAAATGTTTTTGGTCCTTTTGAGACAGGGTCTCTGCAGTTCAAGCTGGCTTTGAGCTCACTTTGTAGCCTAGGCTTGAACTTGCGATGATCCTCCTGCCTCAGCCTCCCTAGTGCTGGGGTCACAGGCTTGCAATCCCCACCATGGCATAATGCGTCCTGCTCCTCTTTCATCTACTGGCCCTCCCTCCCCCTCCCTCTGCCTCATGACCCCTCCCCTTTTTTGGGTACATGTTTGCAGCACATGATGTTCACATTCCTTGTCATTTTTTAATAAAAGATAATTTTAGGGCACCAAATATTTATTTTCTCAAATTCCTTCAGGGAGAAAAGAAAACTATGAAAAATCTGTCTGTGGTTAGGACAGAAAACTACACCCTTTGGTCAGGGGAAGAGGACTACAAAGCACCACGGTGAGATGAGCACATGACAGAAAAAGAGGCAGCCAGGGCCGGGGGTGGCAATCTTAACTACCAACCCGTGACTCCCCAGCCCCATTGTACAGGGAGGCAGGGGATGCCCAACAAGCCTCCCTCCTCTGCGGAATCTCTGGTGCTAGCCACAGCCTGCTCTCAGCCCCCTCCGGTACAGTGCTTCATCCCACTTGAGCACACTGAGAATGCAGGAGGAGGCAGACACCAGTTCCACAGAACACGCAGATTATGATCTTCCTCAAATACTTCTTAAATCTATTCTCCTTACAGAATTACAGTACACATGGAGAAGCAGCAAACTAATACATTCCAAAATAAAAGATTTTGAAAGATCATCTATTTCCTATGACAGCCTCAGATTAGAACTTTCTTTGGGATTGGGATTGTTATGGTTTATGTCTAGCTGTACCCTCAAAGCCTCACGGAAGTTTGTGAGAAATTCATGATCCAGTGCTGGGATTACAGGTGTGGGTGCTACACCCAGCCTGGGGCCCACAGTCTGAATGTAACTTAAGGGAGACAGACTTCCTCTCTATTGCCATTGTTTCTGCTACTCCCTGCATTTGCTCTTGCTCTTTGCTGTTTTCTGCCGCCATGAACTGCTGCCCTCTGCCATGCTGTTCTGCTTTGAAGCCAGCCAAATATGGACTGAAACCTCCACAACTGTGAGTTAAATAAACCTTTCCTTCCTTAATTTTGGGTATCAGGTATTTTGTCACAGCATTGAGAGAAGAGTAACTGAGATAGGGATTTTTTTAAAAAAGTTCATGTTAGCTCAGGTATGGTTGTGCAGTACATGCCTAGGAGCTCAACACTTGGGGAGGCTGAGGCAGGAGGACTGCAATTTTGAGTCCCACTTGGACAACTGAATGAGATCCTGTTTCAAAATAAAAAATTAAAACAGGTATGGGAGTGTAGCTCAGTGGTAGAGAACGCACACACATACACATGAAGTGCACTTCGACATACACTTATAAATTTTCAGAAATTTGGCAATCATTTGGTATAATTTATCATTATCACCTAATATTAAAATGATTGATTCAAATGAGGGATAGGATGCTGAGCATGGTGGTGCACAACTGTAACCCCAGCACTCAGTACGCTGAGGCAGGAGGATCAATGCCAGCTGGAAGCTAGCTTGGGTTACACAAGTGAGTTCAGGGCAGCTTGCACTCATAGCGAGACCCTACCTCAAACAAACCAAAACCAAAACAAAACAACAATCACCAACAAAATCAAATGAGGGGTAGGATGCTCTGAAAATAACTGAACCTGTAGTCAATCCATAACTGAATCAAAGAATCTCCAAGTTCAATAAGTTTGAAATTACTTATCGTAGATCTCATTAAATACTGGGAAAATTGAGCTACTTTTTGACAAAGATTCTTTGATCCTTTAATCCTATATAAAGAGTGGAGGGTCTGGGATGTTTCATTTAGGCGATAATACCATAACAGCAGAGAGCAGGGACGCATCCCTGCGTGTTACAGACCATGGTGACACTGACGATACATGACGGAGAGTAACCATGCTTAACGTGTACGGGGCAGTATCCAACGGCTTCCCAGGCAGGCATTTACTATTTATAACCACCTGCCGATTATCCTCATCTCATAGGCCTTACTTAGAAAAGAAGTTTGCAGGGTGCTGAAGAGCAAGCGTGCAGAAGCTAGGCTGCACTGGTGTGCAACCCAGCCCCCTCCCTTCCAGCTTAGCTGGAAAATGGGGGTAACCGTGCAGTCCACCTTGCAGGGCTGGCTGGGAGGCTTAAGCACAGGAACAGAAAGAGTTCAGAAGACAGGCCAGTGCATCTGGAGCGCTAAGTGCTCATGCTCAGTGCTACCATAAGAAAAAAAATATGGGGCGTAGGAGAGCTGTGTGCCCAAGGCTGCACAGTCCTCTTAACTCATGTCATATTTCCTTCTGGGTGCCAGGAGTGCACACGCATGTGTGCATGTGTGTACCTGTGTGTGCTTTCTGGTGTGGAGGATCAAGCCCAGGGGCTTGTGTGTGTGAGGCAAGTATCTAACAATGAGCTATGCTGTCAGTCCTTGTAGGTGATTTTTTATACTGTACTTCAGCCTCATGACAAACTCCTATCTCCATTTTAGAGAGAGAAAATCAGTGCATGTCAGGCAGTTCCTAGCACAGCGGGGACACCATGATGACGAAGAGGTGGGTACTCCCCATGGGAACTCACAGGTTCACAGCCCCTAAGAGACTTGCTCAAAGGTAGAAGCTGTGCGAGAATGCAAACCTAAGTCCGAACACTCTTCACCCTGTCCACATGTTACAGCATAAATCAGGGAGAAAAAGGAAGCAAGAAGCCAAAGGACAAGGAGAGGTTCAGGTTCACTGGGGCGAGGGGTGGGGGAGAGAACCTGTGCACAGCAAGGTGCACTGGAGTCAGTGGCCACCCTAACCCTCTTTATACCTAAAGCTTTCAGCAGCCCAGGAGCAGTCCTTCCCACAGTACTACATTTTATCAAGCACCAAGCAGAGGAATGAGAGGAGGTCCCTCTAAATTGCTTAAAATACATTCCAGTGCAGAATGCAGTGATTTGAAATACTGTAGAGTCCGGCATATAGATGCTCAATAAATTATACATGAAACATCAAATATATAAACCGTATGTGTAAGCTATATGTTATGGACATGTCCACGGGCACACATATTTATTTCTCATTGTGTTCAACAATCTGATGGCTCAGTTCTGAAAGTCATCTTTAAATTTACGTCACCCGACTAGAACTATTGATCACACCTGGGGTGTTTAGATAGGTGAGCCTATGAAATCACAGGGGTCCTTGCAAGTGGCAGCAGATCGAGCTGTCTCACAAATAGCACAGGAGGCGATAGTCGCCTTCCTTCCTACACAGCCTTGGCCTTCCCCACTAACAATAATTCCACCCATGACCTCAGCTTTTGACTTTCTGCCACTAAACTGTAATTACTGATGGACCAGACTCATGGTTTCATTCTTCTACATACTCTAGAGGTGGATGGTTGTATTATTGTTGCAGAGTAAAATCTCCAAATCCCAAAGAGTAAGACCTGTGGATCCTTTTGAGAAATAAGCTGCATTCCAACAGGTTTTTGCTCACATAGTTCAAGTTCAAAACAAAAGATAATAGTTTAAATTTTGAAACACACCACCAATAGGTCAATGGTTTAGAAATCTTTCTTTTTTGGCAAAACCGGGGATTGAACTCAGGTCCTTGCGCTTGCCAGGCAAGTGCTTATTCTACTGAGCCATCTCCCTAGCCCCTGTTTAGGAAATCTTTGAGAAAGTAGCAAATATACAGAGTTGAGGAAATCTCTATGCAAGGCTAAAGTACAATTTCAAGAGAATCTATAAACTGTAGCATCTTTAGTGTCACACCAGCAAAACAACATATATTTGTTAAAACATTACAATCCTCTCCCTCTGTACCCTTCCTTATTATAGTAGAGATACTAGGGATTTAACTCAAGCACTTTGCACTGAGCTACATCCTCAATGCTTTAAAATTTTTTTTATTTTATTTGTAGACAAGATCTTTCTAGGTCTCTAAGTTGCCTAGGCTGGGTTCCAAATCCTTCTGCCTTAGCCTCCCACTACGGTGTGAGCTATCAGGCCTAGCTATCATGTGCAATCTTGATTGAGAAAGTTTATGTGATTATTTTGACCAGAAACGCAGGCTTAGAACCTTCAAGATGAAGTACAATAGGTCAACCAGGCTGTTACGGTTTGTCACTAGTTGTCCTCCCAAAGCCTCATGCTGTCTAGAAGTCAAACACCTCTAGAGTTTGTGATTAACTCATGATCCACTGGGATTATGGGTGTAAGCACTGCTGGGATTATGGGTGTGAGTACTACACCTAGTCTGGGGCAGACAGCCTGAATGTAACGTAAGGGAGACAGACTTGTTCTCTGTTGCCATTATTGCTGTTACTCCTCCCTTTCGCTCTTGCTGTTTTGCTGTCTTCCTCCGCCATGAACTGCTGCCCCCTGCCATGTGCCAGTGTGCTTTGGAGCCAGCCATGTATGAACTGAAACCTTCAGTAACTGTGAGCTAAATAAACCTTTTCTTCTCTCATTTTGAGTGTCGGGTATTTGTCTCAGCAATGAGAGAACAGTAACTGAAACACAGGCTAAAAGGCTCCAAATACTCCACTTTTATATCTAGTTAACAGGCAACAGAATGAGCATATCCAAAGTATTTATGCCACAACAGTATTTGGAGGTTACATTATCACTAACAGCCCATCCCTGCCACAATTTAGCTATCAGGAGACAGCACAGTCTTTGGAAGGTGGCATCCTACTACCTGTCTAGTCAACCTCAGCTGCTGGTGCTGTCAGCTCCTATTCTCCTCTGCCCCGAGGGTGGCCTCTCCTACCAGTTCTTCACTTTCTGTCTTTTTCTTTTTCTCGAGGATTCTTTCTCACTGTACATCCCCAAGAATCAAACGACACAGCAGTCCCTTTTTATCTACAAAAGACACATCTCCAGACCACCAGTGGATGCCAGAAACCACGGGTGGTACTGAGTCCTCCTTACACTGTTTTTCCTGTACATATGTACACATATCTGGGATAAACTCTACAGATAGGCAGAGCAAGAGATTGACAACAACTCAAAATAAATTAGAACAATTACAAAGACATATTGAAATAAAAGCTTTATGTGATCTTTCTCCAAAGTTCTTATTGTAGTCTATTCACTCTTTTTCTTCTGATGATATGAGAGATCCAATGCCTGCAATGAACTGAAAGGAGGCAGGAATTGTAGGAGTCACTTGTATGTAAGGGTCACTCGAACACAGCACTGCATCACCCTGACAGCTGATGTGATAACACAATTTCTAAGTGACTAAGGGGGCGGGTAGCACACGCAGCATGGATACAGCACGGGCAAAGGAAATGGAGTATGGGTGGGACAGGAAAAGACAACTCCAAGTTTTTTATACTTTTCAGAATGGCACAAGATTTAAAACTTCTGAATTACTGATTTCTGGACTTTTCAACTTAATGTCTTCAGACAGTGTGCAACTGAAACTGCAGAAAGCAAAACCTCAGACAAGGGTCCTCCTATAAATATGATTCGCAATGAAGGCCCTTCTTCTGATTTGCCTCGATATCACAACTAAGCACTCTATTCCCACTGATATGACTTGTTTTTTAATTTTTAAGAATCTGTTATTTATTTATGTATTTGGTAGAGGGTCTCCCTATGGAGATCCCTAGTGATCCTCCTGTCTCGGCCTCCCCAGTGCTGGGATTACAGGTGTGTGGCACCACGCGCAGCTTGGGTGGCCAGCACTGTATACTGAGGTTTCTGGGGCTGGCACGGCATGGGGTACTGGGGATTGGACCCGGGTCCTTTTGCTTGCCAGGCAGGTGCTTAGTCCGCTGAGCTATCTCACTGACCCGAAATGACTTGTTATAGAGCACTAAAGGGAACAATCCTGTACGGTCTGCACATGGCCAGGTTATCCACGGCTCCCAACGCAGAGAGAAGTAACGAGGTCATCATACCTGAGCATCCGCAGCGCCTTCAGCTCCTGTTGCAGGTACGTGTTGGCCACTGTCATCATCATCGTCCTGCTCAAGTGCTTTAAAAAAAAAAGTGAAACGCAGCATTATGAGGAAAATGCTTCACACAGTTTTCTGAGTGGGCAATTTGGCAAAAAAAAAAAAAAAAAAAAATATGTCGGATGCATAAAATGTAAAAAAATACCATTATTTTTCAACAACTGAAAAAAAAGTTAAAGACTTTTCATAGCACCACACGTCGTTCACGTTCATTATTTCATTCAGTGAAGTGACGGCCGAGGGAAAATTTAACCTCAGTTCTTCTTCACCCATACCCACGCTGACATCACCGTAGCAGTACTGTAGGTTGTCAAGGGAAATCTGGTAGTGACAGCCTTCTATTCCCTTTAATTGAGGAAGTACTTTTTAAATTTTTTTTGAGAAAGTGTCTCACTATGCAGTTGAGCTCACTTTGTAGCCCAGGCTTGTCTCAAACTCATAATGACTGTCCTGCTTCAGCCTCCCCAGGGCTGGCATTACAGGTGCGGGCCACCATGGCCAGTGAGAAAGTACTGTTTAAGAGTGTGGCTTGCTGGCAGGCAGTGTAAATGTCAAGTAATCAAGGAAACACAGTATCTTATATCCCAGTTGTTTCCTACATTGTTACCAAGAAAAAAATCCAGACTGTGGAGTCTGAATCCACCTCTCCCTTCCTCATCATCTCCCTATCCAAATTCTTATGGCCTTGTCCTCGCTGCCACAATGACCTTGGCCCAAAGGCCTCGCCTCAGGCCTCATCCGTATCTAACCCAGCCTGAGCACAGCTGCTAAAACCATTAGTCTCAAAGAGCGCAGCAACAAGCACCAGGCTTTGGCTCACGTTTTGCTTATCTTGGTAAGTCTGAATTTCTGCTCATCACTGAAGGGCTTCCTCTACCTCTCTGGCTTTTGGAATCACTATCTTCACACTGACATGCACCTACAAAATTTCAAGCAACTGCTCTTGGTGTGGCGACTGGATGGCCTTCTCTCTATGTGACTTGCTCTTTCATTTCAACCACATCGGGCAGCCACAGAAGGACGTGCCCTGTGTTGGAGCTGTTTCTCCTGTGAGATGTGTAAGCTCCACCAAGTACACATATTACCTGAGAAAGCAATCAGTAATAACAACTACTACCACTAATAATTATTGAAAAATAAAATGAAATTAAAAGTCACCATTAAGGACCTTAAAAATTAAATAGGGCAATGGCAGGAGACCAACTTGGGAACATCACTGTAGAGCTGGCTGCGTGGATGCTTCTCTGAACACGTGCTATTTGGACTCAGACCTGAAGGAAGAGATGGGGCTGCCAATGGCACAAGACAGGGACATGTGACAAGGCAGGTATAAACCACAATCAATTCAGGTTTGAGCCTAAGAATGTAGGGAAATCATAAATGAATTCTCAGTAAATGCATGATCTGATGTTTCTGTTCGAAAGCTCTTTCTTGCTTCTTTGTGAACAGCAGGCTGGGGAGAATCAAGTGGAAGCAGGGGACCAGTTGGGGGATGCAGATGCTGTCTTGCCTAGGGTGACAGCGTGCAGAGCGTGAGGCGGTGATGAGCAGGAGTGCGACGGGGACTTGAGCAGTATTTGGTGTTGGTGGCTGTGGGGTGACTGGAGATGGAACTCAGAGCTTTCACGCTTCAGCTTAACGCATTTTTTGAGACAAGGTCTCCCACATTGCTAAATTACCCAGGCTGGTGTCAAATTTGTAATCCTCCTTCCTCAGTCTCTCATAGTACTGGGGTTACCAGTATGCAACACTGTGTCTGTCTTGAACTGTCTATTTTTTTTTTTTGATACAATACACACAGTTTGCCAATGACCTGGATGCAGGGGGAGGGGGAAGGGACAGTGAGAGGGAAGCGGCAATCAATGATAATTCCTAAGCTGAGTTAGTTAAGTTATTCCAGTCTCCATGTTATGGTTTGTATCTGGATGTCTCTGTAAAGCCTCATGAACTCATAGGTCGGGGTTGGGGAAGTGAATGGATGGTGGGTTTGTGGTACACAGTGGGTTAGTCCACTGCTGAGGGCTAAATGTAACATGGAAAGATGAAGCCTCTGGAAGGGGTGAGCCACTGTGGACATGGGCTGAATGGTCTCTCCCTCCTCCTCCCTTTCTCTGTCTGCTTCTGCCTGCCATGCAATGAGTAATTCTCCCCTGCCAGGTCTTTCTGCCTGCTGCCCTGCCTTGAAACCAGCGGACTATGGACTGAAACCTCTATAAACTGTCAGCTAAATAAATCTTTCCTCCTTTAAGCTGTGGGTCTCAAGTACTGTGTCCCAGCCACAAATAAAGTAGCTAAAGTAGCTTTTAATGGTTTGTGTCCAGTTGTGCCCACAATGCCTCATGTAGTCATGGTGCAGCTCCACGAGTTTGGGGCTGATTTTTTTTTTTTTTTTTTTCGGAACCAGGGATTGAACTCAGGCCCTTGCGCTTACCAGGCAAGCACTTATTCTACTGAGCCATCTCCCCGGCCCCTGCGACTGATTCTTGATCCAATGCTGGCACTGCAGGTGTGAAGGCTACACCCGGGCCTTGGGACGGGCAATCTGCATGACAACTTAAGGAGGGGAGAGAGGCTTGCTAGCTGCCTGAGCTGCTTCCACTCTCTCTGCTCTTTGCTGCCACCACGGACAGCTGCTCTGTGCTGCAATGCACCACTCTGCCTTGGAGCCAGCTGAGAATAAACTGAGACTTCCACCATCTGTGAGCTAAATAAACCTTCCCTTCCTTCATTTTGGGTATTGAGTATTTTGTCCCAGCAATGAGAGATGAGTATCTGAAACAGTAGCTAAGTCGTCCTACCACAGGACTTATCCTTTTGCTCTCCTCACCGAAAAGCAAGCCCTTGCACACCCGCCTGGCTAAGGGTGACTCCACCAGCTGTTCACATGCATTCAGTTTGCATTATTTTGTGTCCTTTTAAATATTCTGCTCTCTGTGGTGTAGTTTTTAGAACATCACTCCACGTGCCTTTTGCTTCTGAATGGCTTTCATGCCTGCTGTGCAGTGCTTACCACAGAGACCGCCTACAGTGCTAGGCACACAGTGTACCTGCAAATGCTAAGTGGGACAAACAATTCATCCCCAAGTGACCAGAATGGCACCACTTGACGATACCCACTTCAATAATAAGCTGCTTCTTTTGTAACTACTTATGAAAGGAGGAGGTAAATTCTTCTGTTAAACTCCCCAGATAAACAGGTAACTCCTACCACCTGGACATCTCTAGGCAAGGTGGAACAGTAGAAGTGGGCAGCTTTCCTTATTTTCAGCAAAAAGTTCTATTCATGTTTGTTCAAAGGGGGTCCCCTGTTGTTACAGTTACCCTCAAAAGGAAACTTAAGAATAAAGAAAAACATGTATGTTTTCTCTGAAAAACTAGAGGCAAGGATATAAAGGGAAAAATAAAATCTAGAATAACATCCTAAACCCCATTTAAAAGTGCAGCAGGCTACAGAAACAAGGAATTACACTCACCCCGTGGGAATATGCAAGAAGTCCTACCCAGGAGCGTAAGCTATGAATAGGGCAGCGGGGATCACGCCACATGCAGACCAGCCGTACTTTCGGCACTTAACTTGTGCTTTATTTGAACGTTTCATGTTTAAAATTTTGTCAATGAAGAATGAAAAATTAATTTTTATACTCTTATAGCCTACAAAACTCATGCTTTTGATATGAAACAAGAACGATCTGGGTTTGTAACGGTGAAGCTTTATCGCTAACCTATCTGGCCTGGGAGGCATGCAGGGCAGGGGTGAGGAGCTCATGGCAAGCATGTTGTTTGGTTTTCTTTTAAGACAAAAGGTGTGCAAGCATGAGTTGTTTTTTCCTAAGCCAAAGCTTCAATATTCAGGCTGAACTACAGGGCTGGCACTATGTGATACATATGTGGGTTTGAGGCAGCAGTGTGGGGCCTCGTCTCTAGGAGGTTGGCCATGCCTGACCTGGGGAACTAGGGGACCACACTTCCGGGTGGCCCTGGGCGCTGCACATGGGCCTACTCCTTCCTCCTTGGCATGGTCTCCCTGCTCTGCGTCCTCTGTGTCCCAGATGCCACCATCTGAGAAGCTTTCTCTTGTGCCATGCTGTGCCTGCCACGGAGGCAGCTGCCCCTGTGAGCCAATGAAGCCGCTGCTCCTCCATGTCGCGGGTGCCGGGCTCCAGGTCCCAACATGGGAAAGCTCAGTGACACAGGAATATCGGCATTTCTTTGTGTCACCTTGATTAACCAGAACACAGATCATTCAGAATAATAAATAATCATTTTAGGACTGAGAGTTAGCACTGTCTTCTTCTTCTTTTTTTTTTTTTTTTTTTTTTTTTTTTTTTTGTGGTGGAACCAGGGATTGAACTCAGACCCTTACATTTGGCAGGCAAGTGCTTATTCTACTGAGCCATCTCCCTGGCCCCCATGCACTACCTTTTGAGATGTACTGAACATAGGATTAAAGGAGGAATAAACGAGCACTCAAAACAAGACAAACAGTGTATCCTCTAGTTGTCTTCATATCAGCATGCTTCATTCATTCATTCATTCATTCATTCATTCATTCATTCATTCTGCAGTGTTGGGGACTGAAGGGGGCCTCGTGCCCACTATGCATGCACTGTCCCACTGAACTATAACCTTAGCCTGGAAATGCTGCTTTTCTTGATGACTGCAAAATATGTGGTCTGGAATTCTACCTCACAGAGTGAGAATTAGAAACACAAGCCAACGGGCATGGCAAAGGCAGCTCACAGCCTCTCCAACCTGCACAGCACAGACTCTCACAGTCTCTTGAGCTCAGCACTCTGATGACAGAGTGAAGAGAATGTTTTCTTCCAACACACAAATATTATTTTCTTGGAAATACTGAAAAAATAACTCCGAAGATACAATCTACCAGCGGTTCACATATGGCACTTAGAAACAAAACTTGGGGATGTGCAAGGATTTATGACCACCTCATGAAGTCACATGCATGGAGTCCACAGTAGGATTAAAAAGGAACAGTCTTCTGACCCTTCATACACAAACT